TCAGATTTTCTCCTTGTTCATTGCTCATATTCAGAAACGATACTGTGTTTGTCTCTGGTTGCCCTGTGGCACTCAAACAGTTCTGGAAATTTCACTGTAGATACTCTTAGATTTTTCTATGTAGAGAATCATATTATCTGTGAATGATGCTAGTTTTTTTTTTACCCCTTCTCTATTCATACACTTTTTGTTTTTCTTGTTACATTGGGACTAATTTAAGATCTCCAGCACAGTAATGTACAGGATGGGGGACTGTAGGCATTGCTAAGGAAATGCTTCTAAAGTCTGACCATGAAATGCACTGGTTATTGTCTGTTTGGGTAGGTACTTATTATTAAGATAAGGAGGTTCTCTTTTAAAGTAGTTTGCTAAGAGTTTTCTAAAAATTAGTATTTAATATTACTAGCTTTCCTGAAGCTTGTGAGTTGACATGGTTTTCTTCTTTATATACAAGATTTTAAATTAATAGAATTTTGCAGACTAAACCATCTTTGCATTCCTGACCCATACCCTGCTTGATCATGATGTATTGCTTGCTTATACATTGCTTGCTTCAGTTTGCTTGTATTTTTTTTCAGTTTGTTTATATTTTATTGAGGATTTGTATAACCACATTCAGATAAGCCAAGCATATATACTTTAATTTCCTTATAGGTCTGCTTTTAAGGTCAAAAGCCTACTAGATAATACAACATATTATCAAGCCTTTAAAAAAAGAAGAAAAAAAAAGGGACCGATCAATGAAACCAAACGTGAAATCTAGAAATAAACCCTGCATTTGGGATTTTAACATTTAACAAAAATGCCAGTTAAAATCAGTGGGAAGGGTCGCCTGGGTGGCTCAGTCAGTTAAGCATCTGTCTCTGGCTCAGGTCATGATCCCAGGGTCCCCCAGGGAACCGTGTTGGGCTCCTTGCTTATTGGGGAGGCTCTTTCTACCCCGTTCCTTTTGCCCCTCCCCCACTTATGTTCTCTCTCATTCTCTCACACATGCTCTCTCTCTCTCTCTCAAATAAATAAAATCTTAAAGTCAGTGGTGAAAAGATATACTATTTAGTAAATGAATAAATTGAGTGATAGGGTAGAACAACTGGACAATCATCAGGATATAAAGCTAGAAGGGCACCTCGGTGGTTTAGTTGGTTAATCTGACTTTATTTCAGCTCAGGTCATGATCTTGGGCTTGTGAGATTGAGCCCCACATCAGGCTCTGTACTGAGTGTGGAGCCTGCTTAAGATTTTCTCTCTCTCTCTCCCTTTGCCCCCCCACCACACCCACCCCCTGCTCATGTGCACACCCTGTCTCTCTTAAAGGAAAAAAAAAAAGATATAAAGCTGAAGTCATCATTCACACCATATACCAAAATGACTCCAAATTAGTTTTTTAAAAGATTTTATTTGAGAGAGAGAGAATGAGACAGAGAGAATGGGGGTGGGGGGGTCAGAAGCAGACTCCCTGATGAGCAGGGAGCCTGATGTGGGGCTTGATCCCAGCACCCCGGGATCATGACCTGAGTTGAAGGCAGTTGCTTAACCAACTGAGCCACCCAGGCTCCCAAAATAACTCCAAATTCACCAAAAGATTTAAGTGTAAAAAGGGAAACAAGTGCCAAATGAAAACATGGATGAATTTTTTATAACTTGTTTTTCTATTTCTTTTTGAGTCAATTTTCTATTATATTTTTTCTAGGAAATTAACAATTATCTAAACTTTCCAATTTATTGGCATAAAAGTCCACATTTTCCCTGTAATCTTTAAAAATGTCTTTTTGAACTTTTTGTTTTATTTTTTTGTTTTTGGTTTTGTTTTTTTTTAAAGATTTTATTTATTTATTTGACAGAGAGAGATCACAAGTAGATGGAGAGGCAGGCAGAGAGAGAGGAAGGGAAGCAGGCTCCCTGCTGAGCAGAGGGAAATCTAGTGTGTTCCCCAAACATATGAAGATTGAGTATTTATGTAGTATTCACAGATACTATCTGTAGAATGTCCCTAAACTATTCAAATTCAAATCTATAGAAGTAGAAAAGAAGACTGAAAATAGTTGTAAGAAGGTACCAAAACAAAATAAGACACTGGAATTAAGAAGGCAATGCCAAAGATAAGAGCTAAAATTAATGAAATAGGATACAAAGATCCACAGTATGGACCAACAAAACAAAATATCTAGTTCTTTGAAAAAGTCATAAAATTGGGGTGCCTGGGTGGCTCAGTCGTTAAGCATTTGCTTTCAGCTCAGGTCATGATCCCAGGTTCCCAGGATTGGGTTCATCAGGATCCCTGCTCCAGGGGGAGTCTGCTTCTCCTTCTCCCTCTGCCCCTCCCCACTGCTTGTGCTCAAGCTCTCTCTCTCTCAAATAAATAAAATCTTTAAAACAAAAAGATTGGGGTGCCTGGGTGGCTCAGTGGATTAAAGCCTCTGCCTTCAGCTCAGGTCATGATCCCAGGGTCCTGGGATCTAGCCCCACATCGGGCTCTCTGCTCAGCGGGGAGCCTGCTTCCCCTTCTCGCTCTGCCTGCCTCTCTGCCTACTTGTGATCTCTCTGTCTAATAAATAAATAAAATCTTTTTTTTTAATAAAATCTTTTTTTTTAAAGATATTTTTTATTTATTTGACAGAGAGGTGGGGGGGTCACAAGTAGGCAGAGAAACAGTCAGAGAGAGAGGAGGAAGCAGGCTCCCCGCCGAGCAGAGAGCCCGACGCGGGGCCCGATCCCAGGACCCCGGGATCATGACCTGAGCCAAAGGCAGAGGCTTTAACCCACTGAGCCACCCAGGTGCCCCAATAAATAAAATCTTAATAAATAAATAAATAAATGTGGCGCCTGGGTGGCTCAGTGGGTTAAAGCCTCTGCCTTTGGCTCAGGTCATGATCCCGGGGTCCTGGGATCGATCCCCACATCGGGCTCTCTGCTCAACGGGGAGCCTGCTTCCCCTTCTCTCTCTGCCTGCCTCTCTGCCTCCTTGTGATCTCTCTCTCTCTGTCAAATAAATAAATAAAATCTTTAAAAAAAATAGTCATTAAATCTGGAGAGTTCGTAGGCATTTTCACATCGAGTATTTCTCCTCCTCCATTCTTTTGAGTCTCTTTTTCTGGGATTCCTATTAGGCTTATGATGGACTTTCTCATTCCATTTTCTTTATCTCAACTTCTCTCATATTTTTTCTCTTTATCTCTCAGTGCCATAATCTGGGTAATTTCCCTGTATCATTTGGTTTGCTAATTCTCCAGCTTTGTTTGATATGCTTTATAACCTATTTATTGACATTTCATTTCAATAACTGTATGTTTTAATTCTAGATATTATATTTTATACTTTTAAAAAAGTATATTCTGTCCTCGGAATGTCTTATTCTGCTCTTAGGGCTCTGTTTATGTCTTTAATTATTTTAAGTATATTTCTTACTATTTACAGACAGCTCTTCTATTCATCTCATATTCTCAGAGTTCTAATCCTCTCTTTTGGTGTGTTTGCTGATTCTCAATTCTTGGACATGGGAATGTTAAAACTCGGGTGTTTTGTAGTTTTGGATTGTGAGTTTGTTTTTGAAAAGCCTTTCCCCCCCATCCCAACCTGTCCTGTGGGAACCTCTTTATGCTCTGCTGTCAGCAGTCCCAGGGACATCACCAGAACATCATTAAGTTAGGATCAGTTTTTATGCTAACTCCCAGGTACAGATAGGCTGCATAAAGATGAAGGGTGAAAGTAGTAAAAATTCAAACCAGCGAAAGGTGTCTTCTCTCCCTGTCTTTTCCTTGTCTTTGCAGGGTGCTGGCTTATGCAGGGGTCTCAGTTCTAACTCCCCATTTTGCTTGAGACCAAGGCTTCTCCTCCTCTAACTCCTGCTTCCTGGGGCAAAACTTCAGGGCCCGTCCCACCCACATGCCAGTGCTGAGTCATCGCCACCCCTGTTTTTCCTTTCTGGCACTCATGTGTTTCCTTTTTTTCCCTACTGGCTCAACCATTCAGCCTCAGCAGTTGTGTTTACATTTTTTGTAGTAGTTTTAGGTAGGTACAGGAGGAGGATTTTCAGGGGTTATTGATTTTTCATTTTGCTGAGACCGTTTCATTTGTAAGGCAAGTAAAACCCTGAGTTTAGTGGGCTGGAGGCATGCTATGAATGTGCAGTGAGATGGGAGTTCAGTGGGTGTGCTCTGTGGCGACACATGTGATGGCCAGGGTTTCAAGTCCCTAAGTTCTCAGGCACAGCATCAAGCACTTTGCATTTATTTCTCAGGCATAATCCCATGAGAGGTTATTACTGTCCTCATGTTATAGAGGAAGGAAACAGAGGCCACAAGTGGTTGGGTAACTTACCCAGCTCCTGTTCCAATGGATGACTGCTTTGGGCTTAAGTCATTTTTTTTTTCTTTTTCTTTTCTTTTCTTTTTTTTTTTTTTTTTTTTGAGAGAGAGAGAGAGAGAGAGAGAGAGAGAGAGAGAGAACATGTGCATGGAGGAGGGACAGAGGGAGAAGGAGAGAGAGAATCTTAAGCAAGCTCCAGGCCCAGTGCGGAGCACTATAGGGGCTCGATCTCACAACACTGAAGTCATGACCTGACCCCAAATCAAGAGTCAGATGCTTAACCGACTGAGCCATCTAGATGCCCCTATGCTTAACATCCTTTACAGGGATAGTCCCTGGAGTTCTAAGACTGCTTTAGAAGGGATTTCTTTAAATTTCTCATTTTATTTTACTGATTTATTGGAAGACTGGTTTTCTTCTTTGAATTCTGGGGATGGGGTACCTTCTGGAGTGATCTCCCCACTCAAGTGTGAGCTGGCATGGAGGCCCACCCCCACAACCCCGAAGCTGGGCTCTTTGACTTTCCTACCCAACTTCAGCTGCCCCTACCCTGGTCCCATGGCAGGTACTGAGGCCATGCCCTGGACACCGATGGGGCAGGTGGCACATGTCTCTCTGTTCAGTCACTTTCAGGTACCAAGACCCACGCGTGAACGCTCCCCAGCCTCAGGCGCTCCCCATCTCCTTTCACTTACAGAAATGGGCCACAGGATGAAGGGCATGTATCTGTTGATGGCGAAGGTGTAGATAATGAAGAAGAAGCAGAAGACGGACAACTCCATGGTGATGATGAGTGTCAGGAGAGGGTGCACGGTGGTGTCCGTGAACATAACCATTGCAGCTATGAGGCAGCCCTGCTGGGAGACACGCACCTGAGCTCTGGCAGAGGGTTCTCACCGGCTCTACAGCTCTTCCGGAGCCCCTCTGCAGCCTGCTCCTTCTCTCTCTTCCCACCATCGCCTCCCTCCCCACCACTGGGGTACCAGACCAACTTACCAAGCTCAGGATCTTGACCTCAGCGTGCCCCATAACCCAGAACTCTTTATTGCTGTCCTTGAATTCCCACTTGTAGCGGCGACAGCCCTTCCTCATGCCCACCTCATCCTGGGGCTGCACCGACTTTTCCTTTTTCTCGGGCTCCTTGTCTTTCTTGTCTTCGGGTTGGGGGTCCCCCGGAGGGGGCGCGGCTTCGGGTGCCGGGGCTGCTGCTTTGCCCTTTTTGCCTTTGTCAGCCATCTTTGCGTGGGAGTTCTTAACTTCTCACCGCCTACCCGATCCCTCCCGCTGTCCCCCGACAGGCCTGGCCTCTGAGCGAGCCTGGTGCCCACCGACCTGCTCAGAGGTCCCGCTCAGCCAACGGCCAGGACTGGCGAACGCCAACGCCTGGCGCTCCCCCGCGCGCCGCGTCTCCCTGCGCCGCATCACCTGGCTCCGCGCCACCGCTGCCCGGTCGCACCGCGAGGACCCCAGTGGGTGCCAGCCGACTGCCTCCAGGGTTGCCCACCTCCATGCGGGAGCCCCCGCCTCTTCTCCCCCCAGCCCCAGCCGCAGGCGGGTTGCATGGGTGGGAAGCCCAGCGGGGTCAAGGCCCTGGCCACCGCCCCCTGGGGCAGCCTCGTCAGGCACCGCGTGAAAAAAGGTAACTCGACTTTCACACAAGGCAACACGAGGAAGCACAGATGTTCCCGACTTAGCAGCCCTGATTTTATGATCGCGTGTGGGCCGGGATGGGTGACAGCATGCAAGCCAGTGGCGGGATTAGCGGGAGGGACGAGGCGCAGACGCTTATGTCCACGAGGGTGGCAGCGAGGGTGCCCGTGAGGATGGCATCGTGGATGGCTTCGAGGATGCCTTTGAGGATGCCTGGGTGGATGCGCGCCTGGCGTCTGCGGCGGGGGCCGGTGTGGGTGCCTTTCCCGCTGCCGGCGTGGGTGCCTTTCCCGCTGCGGGCGTGGGTGCTTTTCCAGCTGCCCGCGCGGGTGCTTTTGCAGGTGTCTTCGCCGGTGCCTTCGCGGGTGCTGCTGCGGGTGATTTTGAGGGTGCGGGCGTGGGTGGTTTGGAGGATCCCGGCGTGGGTGGTTTGGAGGATCCCGGCGTGGGTGGTTTGGAGGATCCCGGCGTGCCTGCTTTCCCTGCTGCCCTTGTGCCTGCTTTCTCGGCTGTGGGCGTGGGTGCTTTCCCCGCTGCCGGCGTGCCTGCTTTCCCGGGTGCCGGAGTGGGTCCTGGCTCAGGTGTCTTCTTGGGTTCCAGGAGCAGGGAGGAACTGCTTTCATATTCGAGTCCCAGGAGTCTTCTCATTTTATTCCTCATCTTCTTGGTGACCACAATCGCATCCAGGATACACACGATTGCCGCTGTAAGACACTGGGTCTGTCAGACACAAGACCATACACAGGAAGGGAAGGCTGGGTTAATTTTGCGGCTCTGCGGCAACCTGGCTTCCCTATCCCATCCCATTCCCCTCTGACCCAGCACTACCTGTTTGGTGTCTGCCTAGCGGGCTGCTGAGGCACATTCTGCAATTTCCAGAGAAAGGGATTTTGGAAATGGTGGGTTTTGCTGCCAGTAATGACCTCACCGGATGCCTGAGGCATCAGAAAGGACCAGAGAAGACTATTTGTCAGCTGTAGGAAGCTCTGGATAAGTATGAGGTCCTGAGAAGGCCCTTCAGCAGAAAGGACTCTTGGGCTTTGTTTGAAAAGAGCAGGAAGGAGTTGCCAAGGGGACCAAGTGGGAGGAAAAGAACTTCAGATCATGGACGGAGGTCTCCAAGGAGTGTGGTGTGACTCGGACCTCTGGAGCTGGTGAGGGAGGGGGCAGAGTTGAGGCTAGGAAGTGCAGGATTTGGGACTTGATCAAGAGGTGAGATCAGGTGCCAGAGTCAGAAAGCACACTTGCAGTAACCGTGAGGTGAAAAGGACAGGAGGCAGGCACACCTGGTGGGGTGTGGTGGGGGCTCCTGCCATCCAAGTAAGAACTGAGGGGCTCCAGATGGTGGGAGCCCCTGGCAGGTAGGAGAAGGCTTGGTGGCTGAGTTAGTAGATGGGGACCTGCAGTGCATAGCAGGATTCTGGGTGCCTCCCCCATCCTGCCTGCTCTGGATGTTTCTCTTTACCTGTCACTTAATCCCTGGTTGCTTGAATGCACTTTCCTTTGGTAGGTCTTGCCCCAGCTAATCTGTGGGCTCCCACAGGGATAAGGGACTTTATTCCCAACACTAAGCCTGGGCCTGGCACAATCCAGTGGGATTGACAAATATTTGCTGATGATGGAATGAGTATAAAGAAGTCAAACTTTTTTTTTTCTAGATTAATTTCTGTTCCCATTGCTTAACTTCCAGAACCAGAAGTCTCACCTCCTCAGTTCCCACCCTCTATCTTCAAAGCATTTTAATCTGCCATTTCTTGTGCTCTTCATACGGTAAAGATTTGAGTCCCAGCTTGTCCCAGGCTTGTGAGCCAGGGCAAATTATGTAACCTCAGTTCTCATATCTGTAAAAATGAGAAGTGTAAAAATCAAGTCAGAACATGCCTGGCTATGTGTGGGGCACAAGTGGGAGCTTCTTTCCTTCCTTTCTTCCTTCCTTCCTATGGGGCCATTCATTTTTGACAATGTACTTTTTTTTTTCCTAGTCATATACTTTTCTTTTCACATGCTTTTTTTTTTTTTTTAAGATTTTATTTATTTATTTGACAGAGAGAGATCACAACTAGGCAGAGAGGCAGGCAGAGAGAGAGAGAAGGGGAAGCAGGCTCCCTGCTGCGCAGAGAGCCCGACGTGGGGCTCGATCCCAGGACCCTGGGATCATGACCTGAGCTGAAGGCAGAGGCTTTAACCCACTGAGCCACCCAGGGGCCCCTCACATGCTTTTAAAATACAATTCTCTAGTCCAAAAGAGTCAAAGCCCTATTTATAGACAAGAATACCTTGTTACAACATTTCAAAAAATACTGTGTACATTTCTCGAAAGGGGAGTTTGTACCTATTTGGAGAATGAGTATTAGGACGAAGATTTTCATGAGTTTAGAATTTATGTAACTTTACATCTTCTGAAGAAGTCAGTGCAGAAGAAGGGGTGGTGGTAGGGATATCATTCTGCAAACGAAGTAATTACGGTCTGCCAATTTCCCTTTGCAGAGTTTTGAAGTACTGATTTTTTTTTTAAGATTTTATTTATTTATTTGACAGAGAGAGAGATCACAAGTAGGCAGAGAGGCAGGCAGAGAGAGCGGAGGAAGCAGGCTCCCTGATGAGCAGAGAGCCCGATGTGGGGCTCGATCCCAGGGATCATGACCTGAGCCGAAGGCAGAGGCTTTAACCCACTGAGCCACCCAGGCGCCCTGAAGTACTGATTTTTTTAAAAAAGGATTTATGTATTTGTTTGGGAGAGAGAGCGAGCAAGTGGGAGGGGCAGAGGGAGAGGAAAAGAATTTCAAGCTGACTCTCTGCTGAGTGCTGAGACCAACGTGGTGCTCCATCCCATGACCTTGAGATCACGACTTGACCCGAAACCAGGAGCTCACCCTTAACCGACCGAGCCATCCAGGCACCCTTGAAATACTAATCTTAAATGGGGCCATGAAGGCTTTGACTTACCCCTCCAACATAGAATAAGTGCCTTCTTTCCATTTCTTGCATCGCCAGGATGGCAACTATTAAAAGGAACACAGCTGTAATGAAACTGTTGACAAGATCCTGTAATACAGAATTGAAAACTGTCAACTCTACATGAAAATGTGATTTCATAAAATATTTTAAGTTGGTGAATTACCCATCTAAGGATGGGTGTCTTTTTAAAACTTTCCCTTTGATTAATATTAAGAGGCACTGTTAGCAGCAAAATTCTTGCATCTTCCAAGACATGAGTTTATGTGATCTTAAGGTCCTGGATAGGACTTTGTCAGCAGAAATGGGTTTAATGTCATTAAAGAGTGCCATTAAAAAAAAAAAAAAGCTGACAACTTTCCCATTATATTCTCCTTTAAAGGGCATAAGAAAGTGAGCATGAAAAACACTAAAGGTATAGGGCCCTACCTCCATAAATATGGTTTTTAATAATCCTATATGTTAAATTAATGTAAATCCTGCATTCTATTCTGTAATATATTTTTGATATAAAAATTAAATTTTAGGTTTGCACTTTATTAATTTAATTGCATTCCCAAATCTGCAGGTAGAACTAGAGAGTCTGGAAGTTAGTTGAGATTTATTCTGTGGGTTCACATATCCCAAGGAGGCAGGAACACATCTGGGGAGCAGGGCTGGTATTCTAGAGTGAATGCCTATGCTGTTGACTTCTGTTCTTTCCTAAGAAATGGCTGGAATTGGGTCTGTCCTGGCATCTGTGGGCTGCCTTTGTCCTCTCTTCTGGATTCCAGTACTGGGTTCTTTAACTGCTAGCCCAAACTGCAGCTTTGTGTGCCAAATAAAGGACAAGAATGAGTAGATGGAGGCCACTCCTGGAAATAAGCAGAGGCTGGGCTTCGGTAATAGAGCAGTAATGGAAAAGTGGGTACTCAGTGGGTCCGTGGCACCAGGGTGGAGACGGTCAAAAGCTCAGGGTGATAGAACCACGGTATGGCCCAGATACCTAATTGGAACATTTTAAGTCCTTCAGTCTTGATGGCTTGACTTGGTACTGTCTGGTAGTGTCAGCCTGTCTGGTGCACCTGCCCGAGTCTAGCAAGGAGCCCTACCACCCAGTGTGTAAAATCATAGTATCTCCGATGGGAACTCTTCAGTGTGCCCAGTATTTTCCAGTCCTTACCTTATCTAACCCTCACAAACACCCTCCAGGGTCAGTATTGTTATGATCCCTATTTTAAGAGGACATAGCAGAGGCTTAGAGAGGTTTAAGTTGTCTAAGATAGGGTATCTGCCGAAGAAGGGAATCAGAGCCCCTCTCACCGTTGCCTCCCGTCATCCCCCCAGGCTGGAAGTGCAGCACCCATCTTGGGCATTTTTCTGTGGGTAATGGGTCACAGAGGGGCAATATGATATGGGACATGTATGGTGGGAGTGTATTTTGTTGATGAACTCTCTTGACCTGCCAGTTTCTAGATGTGTGACCTAGGGCCTGTTTTATCATCTCTCTGTGTCAATATGTTCATTTAAAATATGGGAATAGTGCTTGGGATCCACTGGGTGGATCTGAGGAGTAAATGGTATAATGAATCTGAAAGTACCAGATGAGTGCCTGGCATTGGCACCGAGTGGGTCGTGAGTGCATCACAATGTGGACTTGTGCTGTCTGCCTTCAGAATGTGCACGAAGTTGAACTGTCTGCAGACGTCGGGTGTCCTTCCCGTTGAGATCGCTGAGCAAGGAGTCCTGTCCCTCTCACGGAATGTGACTTGCCTCACGGAGGGACAGTAATTATTTGGACACCTGGTGGGTAACGCTGGGGAGAAAAGGAGCAGGGCTGGTGAGAGGGTTAGAAGTAAGATCCAGCTGCGTTCTGTGGGCTGCATGAAAAGTCTGTCCACAGTGAGACGGGCACAGCGGTTGACAGGTTTACAAGAAGCTTAGTCCTTTAGGATTATGTGAACCAAGAGAATAATAATGCACAAGAACTTTTACAACTAAGAAGCAGGATATAAACTTTTTAAAACAAAAATTAACTAGCTGTGGCCATAGGTGGTTGAGAATTTAGGTGAAAACCAAGGAATAATGATAATACTAATAAACCAAGTGTAGACTAGGCTTGGCTAGCCCCTTGTTGACTCCCTGTCGTAATTCCATCTGCTCACCGGAATACTAGACGTTCCTTTACTCTGTCCTTACTGTGATTTACTCTGCTCCTTGCTCACAAGGAAGTGCTCTCCCAAACTGTCCTTTGGAGCTGATGTTTGCCTTATATCTAACATTCTGTCATAGCTCACGCCTCGTGAGCACTTCCTGTGTGTCACATACTGGGCCAGGGTGTTAATCTCATTTGATTCTCACAACACACTTTCATTATCCTCAGTTTACAGGTGGTTTAGCAACATGCCTGGGGCTGCCCAGCCAGTAAGTGGCGAGGCCCCTCTGTAGCCTGACTGGAGTGTCCAGAAGCCTTCTCTGGACTAACCCCCCTCCTCCCTTCTGCCTTAGACACATCATTGTTATTGGCCTCATCTTTGACAGAGAGGGAGAAAGAGAGGGAGATAGAGGAGGGAAAGAGAGAGAGAGAGAGATAGAGAGAAAGAGATGTTCTCTCCCAATGGAGTAAAATTGCAGCTGAGTCTTGTCATGTGCCATCTTTACTCATCATCTTTTTCTTTCCCCCTTGACTACATGCCCTACTGACTCAGGCAGCCTCTTCGCATTAAAATGAGAGATAGATTTGTTGCTTGACTGTTATTTTTCCATAAAGCTCCCAAATTGCTTAGATAAAACTGTGTAGAATTTTTAACTGGGAAAGAAAGAGTTGCCTTAATGGTGAATGCTTATTTTTAAAAATCGTTGAGTATTAGAAAAAAATTTGAACATTGACAATTTGTTTCACAAAATGTGGTATTTGTAGCAAGAATATATATGTGGTAAACACTCTATAGTATTCAACTAGCTACAACTCCCACTGACTCCATTTGTGCCTGGAGTTCTCCAAACATGTGGTATAACCTGATCAGAGATGACCAGAACTGTGGTTTTTTCATTAGTCTTATTTGAAGGGGACATTCGAAAGCTGACACTTCCTCCTTATAAATGGAAAGATTTTGCTGGAAGTTTTGGAATCATCAGAGTTTTAGTTTAAAATGCTTATTATGTTGGTTTTTTTTTTTTTTTAATTGCTTTCTCTTGGCAAAAACATCTGCTTGACCAGAACTCAGTCTCTCTGACCATATTGGGTAATATTTTTTATAATGTAGAAGTGTTAAAAATATGGGCTATTCAGGAGGGAATTACAATTTATACTTTTCTGGGGTACGTTGACAGATGACGCTAGATTCATGGGTAAAGTTGATGACAAAGTCTAACAATGAAGACAGTGACCCCACCATGGAGGGGTAAGGAAAGCTCTCTGCTCACTAGCTCTGATGCAGGCCCAGGACATCGAGTCAGGGACTGGCTGCGAGGTGGACGCGTGGGCGTCAGAGTCACTGCCATAGTCTTCACAAGAAGCCACAAGACGCAACTGAGAATGGAGTAGGGATCCCACAACCCAGGCTCCACTATCTCTCTGGAAAAGGAGGCCTTGCCAAAATACGGTCCCGGATTCCATGGATCTCAGCAGGTCCGTACGCGAGGCCAGTCCTCTTTGTTGCTGCTCTACTGAGCACCTGAAGCCCTGATTTATCAATCTATTTCCCGGCGGGGAGCCTTTATCACCAGCCCCTTGCCAAACAAGACTGGGAATAGAGGAATCAGGAACTCTGTACTCCTGGGAGCTTCTAAGTAAACCGCCATTTAAAATCAGCACTAGTGCTCTGCCTTGGGGGCAGGCGAGAATTCTACCACTGAACTACCCATGCTGCTCAGCCTTGGGGAAACCAAACCATCTTGCCAGGAGAGAGGGTCTGCACACGCTGGATGCCTCCAGTGTGTGGGTGGGCCCTCGAGCCTGCACAGAGCCCTGAAACAGGGACGCTATGGAACAGGCCTGGGATCTCTTGGCTTACCCCAGTTCCATCAGGTCCCAGGGGATTTCTGCAGTTTGACACCTCCACGTCTCCAAGTCCTCCTGCTCTGAAGTGACCAGTAGTCCTCTCCTAGGCACACACACTCTCCCTAAACCAGCACACTGTGTTCCGTGCCGAGGCCTCTGTGGTACCACGCAGTGGTAACTACCCTTCTGAACAATCTCGTAGGCACACGGCCTTCACCTTACGGAAAGAGGAAGACTAGAAAGGAAGGGACCGGATAGGAGAACACAGTTCTGAATCCTGTTTTGATGGGTCTTTTAAAAAACCTTCCAAGTCCCTTAGATCACACACACCACCTGACCGGCTGTGTTGGTGAGTATGTGGTGGCTTGGTGTGGACCGCCAGTCCGTTGTGCCTCCAAATAACGGAGCAGCCTTCACGGCGCCCCAACCATGGAGCTGCTGGGAGCTCACCAGCACCAGGCATGTCCATGTGAATCACGCTTCGGGGCTCCCAGAGTCACCCAAAGGAAAGAGGATGCTCTGACCCAAGGATAGAGGTAGGCCTGGGACCCAAGTTAGAGGGGGCCCGGCTTTATCAGAGTTGACCGAAGGCCTGCGATTCTACAAACGCTGTCGTGAGCCATCTATGACCCTGTGAGAACAGTTCTTCTCATAGGACCTTCCTGGTTCATTTAGGAGCCCCCACTTCCTAGATCTTCTCCCTCATCCCTACATAAAGCATTGTGTCTTAAGGTTCCCTCCAGCTCCCCAGCTTTATGGCAGCAGACCTTTCTTTCCTCTGAGGGCTCCAGTCCCTCTGACCGCAGCTGACCTTGGTGCTGTGAAGCCCTCAGTCACCCGCCCTAAGGACCTGTACCCGCCCTCCAAGATAATCTCACCTCTAGCTTCATGTTTTAAGGAAACCATGAGAAAGCAGGAGAAGATACAGAGAACATAAAATTTAGAAAATCCAAGGAGGATAACAATGAGGGGAGAATGAAGACAGAGAAACCATTGTAAGGTAATAAGGCAAAAAGTCTGGAAAGAGCCTGGGCTAAAGCCTGGTCTGAGTTTCCAAGTGACGACCCATGGCCACGGGCAACTTCACCTTTCATCACGTCTTCTCATCTGCTAAACTACAACCCCACTAGATTGTTGTGAGGATTAAATGAGGTAACACGTATGAAGAAGTATCTGGCACATGCTGTGTGCTCAAAATGAAGATTTTCTCAAAAATCTCCAAGGGCAGAGATTTTGGTTTCCCTTCAGAACCCTCTTTATCCTTCTAGCTCTCCACAACAAAGAGGGTCTTTCATGTGTCCGTTTAGACTTGCTCACATTTTGTTGTGTCTGCTTCCTGTTGTTCTGCACTCTGTGGGGCAAAGAGAGCTCAGTAGCTTTTTCAGAAAATGCCTCACATGCTTCAAAAACGTGATTTTGAGTTTTAGCTCAATGCCAAACAATCCTATCTTAAGGTTAGAAAAAGGTACTGCAAGGACGTGGGATGGGGGAGAGGCCTGACCTCTTGAGTTAGGATCGCTCGCAGTGCAAGAGAAAATGGTAAAATCCGGCTAACTACTTTATGGGGTCTGATGGACACTTTGTAAGGGAATGTTTGCTTTTGCTTCGTGCTGAGCATTGTGGTGTTTGCTTTAAACACATTTAAATGTTCCAGGAACCCTATGAGGTAGTTATTATGATCACCCTTTTCCTTTGCTGAGTTTCCTGGATGGGGAAACGGAGGCTAATGTTCACACACTAGGAAGATGCCAGGGCCAGGAAGTGGGCCACGTCTGTATCTGGACAGAACAGTAGTTCTTCTCCATTCTGCAAGGACACAGAACCTCAGGCCCCATAATAAATAGGATTTATCTGAGACCTGAGGGATTAACCTCAGGAATTTTTCAGTTGGTAAAGAATAGGAAGTTCTGGAATAAGTTACTGAAGAAGGCAATGCAATGTTCTTTTCTTGACTACTCTGCCATGTGGCACCCCTTTGGGAGTATGGGCCCTTAGTACCCAAGAAGAGATTGACTCCTGCAATCTTTCAGGGTGTGGGTGACCATTTTGGACAACTCTGCCATGCCGACTCTTGCTTACAAAAGGGGGAAATGTTTATAATGTTAGAGTAGCTGCTGTTGGAAAGTAAAAGCATGTGCTGTTTTACAAACAGTAGATGAGAAGCGTGTTTACGTACTGCATATACCTAATTGAAATTTTCTTTAGGACAGGCTGCGAGGTACCACTATTCAGTGCCCCAGTGAGAAGGAAGCAGGTGTGTGTTGGTGGTGCTGTGGACAGAGGTGTCTAAGGGATCTCTCTGGGTGTTAGGCTAGTTTCTCCACTGAGACGAGGGCAGCACCCTGTCACAGCTCAGTTTTGTTCTTGTCCAGAGAGATTAGCTCTTTTGTTTTCCCTTGAGGAGAGACTGTACTCTAGGACTGAGGCCCAAGCTTATATTTGAATTATGAAAACGAACACTTACAAGTAAGGACCAATCTAAATTAATCAGCAAGTGGTGAAGGGTTAGCATATATATTAGAATAAAAAAAAGAACGATGCAGATTTCCAGAACTGTGATGGCTATGTACGGCTCATGGGCTTTCGCAATGATGAAAGAAACTAGTGCTCCTATGAGAAGACCCTGCAATAGAAGAAACAGGACGTGTTTTAATGCACATGGGCTAGTGAACAGCAAAGCAAACCCATCAACTATTAGAAAGTAAATCTGGTGATATTGCACTTGCCTGTATCGCTTTGTACCTATATTTTATTTGTAGAATGTCTCGTATTTCCAGAAATGAAATAATACATGGAAATAATAGAAGTGCAATTAGGTAGAGAAGAATGAAAAATAACTCCAGTTTCTTTCTTCTTGCTCAACCCAACCCTAGTCCATCTCCTGGAAAGTCACCACTGTTCACCGGGTATATTTCATACTGGAAAGAAGTATATACAAGTAGAATAAATATATACTGATTTTGATAGAAAGAGGTAGAGCTCCACTTTTCTTTCTTTCCAAACAGTTGCTGGTTATCCCAACATCATTTGTTGGGAAACACCAGTATTTTCCCTGCTCATCAGAAATCCAGCCTTTCTCATGTACTAAATTCCCAGGTATATTTGGGTCTCTTTTGAGAATATGCCCTTCCATTGAGGTGCTGATTTCTTCTCTAGTACTTTTGAAATTACAGGCAATTTATTTTATATTATTGTCTTACCTAGTCCCCCTTTCAGTGGTAATCCTCACATTGTTTGTGTCTCCCGTGTTTGTCTTGGTAAAGCTCCCCAAGCTAAGCCTGTTGGTAGTTTAATTGGGATTTCATCTAACTTCTAATTTTGAAAGATTAAACAATTCACTTTTACTACTCAAGAACAAAGTATGTCTTTCCAGTTACTTTAGTTATCTAAGTTTTTCAAGTTTTCTTGATGTAGGTCTTTCAAATTTATTTCATTTAGGCATAGATGTTTTACTATTTTGATTGTTGTTATAAAGAGAAATATTTTCTTCTATTTTAAATGATTGTTTGTTCATTTCTGCTAGTAAGTTAGTAGGGATTATCTTGTTCTAACTTGTTTCCCAGTTGATTTTGAGTTTTTTAGACATACAGCAATGTCAGCTGAAAAAATGATAAATTTTCCTAATCTTTTCAACTGTTATTTATTTTTCCTCATTGTGATGAGCAGTTCCAGAAAAATACTGAATACAGTATTGATGAGGGCATCCTCTTTGTTCCTCATTTAATGGGAATACTTCTGATGCTTCATTATATATGGTGCTGACTTTTGGGTTTATCTTTATAATGTCAGTAAAATATGTATTCCTATTTTATGGATTTTTTTTTTTTGCAATCAGAAATGAATGTTGAACTTTGTCAAATGTGTTCTTTTCCTTATCTGACATAATCTCCTAATTTGTTGTTCTTTTAAAGATTTTATTTATTTATTTATTTATTTGTCAGAGAGAGAGAGAGAGAGAGTGAGCACAGGCAGACAGAGTGGTAGAGGGAGAAGCAGGCTCCCTGCGGAGCAAGGAGCCGGACGCGGGACTCGATCCCAGGACTCTGGGATCATGACCTGAGCCGAAGGCAGCCGCTTAACCAACTGAGCCACCCAGGCGTCCCATGTTGTTCTTTTAACCTAAAATGTTGGTTAGTTTAATAGAGTCCTAATATTGCATCATCATAGTGTATTTTTTAAAAGTACTGAATATTTTCTGCTAATATATTAATACTTGTTGATTTGATACAAGTGAGATTTCTATTTTGTCTGACTTGGTCAGGTTTTGATATCAGTGTTATACTACTTTGAAGAAATAATTCAGAAGGGCTTCTTATTTCTCCATTCTTTGAAGGAGTTTCAATCGTATCAGAATTACATCCCATTTAAGATCGAAAGAGTTAATGTGTAAAAAAGACTGTCCCATATATATATTTTCGAAAGATACTCATTTGATTAGTTCTTACTTTCTTCTGTGTTTACGTTGGTCTGGTTAGGTTTTTCTCTATCCTGGGTCAGTTTTGGTAATTATATTTTCCTAGAAAATAAACTGTTTCTTTCAGGTAGTCAGGTTTATTTGTTTTGTAAAGTACTCTTGGGGATCCTCTCAGTTTCTTCATCCTTTGTGATTATTTTCCCTGTCTGGTGTCTTAACTTTAAATACATGTTCTCTCTTCAGTCTTTTTTCATATTATACTAGCCATTGGTTTATCAATTCTGGTCAATTCTGTTATTTTTGTTTGTTAATTTATACGTTTCAGCTCTTACTCTCTCTGCTTCCCTAATTCCCTTTGTGAGGGAAAACCTGAGAAATACAAAGGCAGGAAAACCAGCGCTGGTTTAGTAATCCGGGTTGAGTGTGGGAGGGGCAAGGGAGAAGGGAGGAAAGATGGGGCAGAACAAACTGGCTGGCAAAGGAAGTAGGGAAGTTTCCAGACGCGGCGTCCCCTGGGATTCCCCAAGGCCGCACCCACCCTGCATCACCAGCTTTCGCCGCACCCACCCTGCATCACCAGCTTTCTCTGCTCACCAGCCTTATGACCTTCATCATTCCCGTGGGCGTGAAGAAAAAATGCTTGAAGCTGTCCCTGAATTTGACTGGGACTAGGGCCCGTCCTTCCGCACGCTTTTGCATGGCGGCCTTCTCAGCTTCGCTCTTGGGCACCTGCGGTGGCTGGGTGGGTGTTGATGTTGCATCTTTTGGCGCACCCGGTGCTACGTTCTTGGGTTGCGCGGAGGGCCCTGAGCGTGCGGGTGTCCCCGGAGGTGCGGGAGCCTCTGGGCGTGCTGGTGTCCCGGGAGCTGCGGGAGCCCCTGGGCGTGCGGGAGCCGCAGGGCGTGCCGGTGTTCCCGGAGCTGCGGCAGCCCCTGGGCGTGCGGGAGCCGCTGGGCGTGCAGGAGCTGAGCGTGAGGGTGTCCCCGGAGCTATAGCAGACCCTGGGCCTGAGGGTGTCCCCGGAGCTGGGGCAGACACTGGGCGTGAGGGTGTGCCCGGAGCTGGGGCAGCCCCTGGGCGTGCGGGAGCTGAGCGTGAGCGTGTCCCCGGAGCTGCTGCAGCAGCTGGACCTTGCTGTTGCAAGCTCCCTGTGGGGGTCCTGGTGGTTTTGGCATCCATGGTGGGCCCCGGGGGCCTGGCTGTGTCAGGCAGGCCCTGCTTCTGGGAGCCTGCCGCCACCGGCAGGCTGGCCCCTGGGAACCAGCGGCGTGCCCCAACGGCTGCTGGGCCCCCGTCCCTCGCGCGCACCCAGCTCTGTGCCCGCGGACAAACCAGGCCCTCCAGCCACCTTCATCGCCATTTGGGATGCGATGCCACTGCCTAGCCTGGGAACTCATTTTTCCGGCAAGCCCACCCCTCCGCGCTGCCAGCCAACCAGGAAGGGGGCTCTGGAGCCCATTTAGGGTGGTCTGGGTGCATTCTTCTCTGCCACCCAGGCCCAGGAGGAGGCAAACCCAATCAGATCAGGATCAGTGCTGGCTTGGAAATGACGATATGGGTGAGCGCTGGGTACAGAGTTCCCACATCTCTTCTTCCAGTTCCCATATTGAGATTAAAATGAGAACAATCACAGGAAATATGTGGAGGAATAAATACATTTAATATACTTAATACTTAGCATCAACTAAAGAGTAATATAAAATTACAAAGCTTATATTTTGTCATGAATAGCCTGTTTCTGATAAGGACCACTTGGATTAAATAGAAGCTTCCGGTAAATAAGGACCCCGTCCGCAATACAGCACACTCCCGCCAGGAGTCCAAACACCTGGAAACGAAGACACTTTGTCACTGCTGTGGCCACGTTCTGGACCTCAGTCACTCACAGGTTTTTAAGTGGTCTGCCCCCTGGCTTCCTCTCTTGCTTCCACCTGATACTGGAAGGGGAAGAGACTTCAGAGATTATTTCATTCTCATGCCCAAGTTTTCCCAATACCTGCCTAAAAAAAGGGAAAAGGTAACTCAGGTGAGCAGAAATAATATTGAAGGGGTGTGGGCTCTGAAACAAAGACTTGTCTGGATCTCTTAACTTGCTCCCACATGTATGATTTAAAGCCCTACTGAAGGTATCTAGTTATCAATCAACATTTCCACCCCAATGTTCAGTTGCCTTTCTTCCTACAGACTCGGCTCGAGGGCCAAAGGTAACAGCAGCTCAAGGTTAAATCAATGCAACAGTAGCTGTGACACGCACTTTAGAGAACTGGAGTGGTTAAGATGATCCAGAGTGAACTCTTAAGGCTGGGCTACATCTGCTTAAAGGGTGGGATTCTAAATAGGCCTCAGGGGGAGGAAAAAAAAAGGTAAAGGGAGTAAACTAGAACTTGGTCTTTAGGTACTGTGATGGCTGTTTGAGAGCTGGCACCTGGGCTGGAAAAGAGGGATACCATTCCTTGTGTGCTATTTGGTCAGTTCCATCCAATGGCCAGGAAATCTGACCCCTTGGCTCTAGACACCACCCCATTTTCTATGCTGAATCTCAAACTCAGCTTCTTAGCTTCTGACCACACTGAGTACTTCCTGCCCTTCCATGACGCTGGTACTCTGCGTGTTGCTGGTTTCTCTACCTGGAACCAACCCCCCCTCCCCGTCTCCCCTTTATTCCTGGCAAGCTGCATTTCCACTGCCAGAGCGAGGTAGTTGCTTCCTCTTTTCTGTGCCCTGAAGTACTCTGTCCATAGCTGATATACAGCTGTTTACATTTCTCTTCCCTGTATTAGGCTCTAAGCAATTTGAGGATAGGGCAGGCTCATGTTCTAGCCCAGTGCTGTCCAAAAGCCCATGTTCTAGCCCAGTGCTGTCCAAAAGAAACAGAATATGAGACACCAATGTAAGCCACATAATTTTTTCTAATAGCCACATTAAAAAGAAAAAACAAGGGAGCGCCTGAGTGGCTCAGTCATTAAGCGTCTGCCTTCGGCTCAGGTCATGATCCCAGCATCCTGGGATCAAGCCACACATTCGGCTCCCTGCTCAGTGGGAAGCCTTCTTCTCCCTCTCCTACTCCCCCTGCTTGTGTACCCTCTCTCACTGTCTCTCTCTGTCAAATAAATAAATAAAATCTTAAAAAAAAAAAAGAAAGGAAAAATAAGTGAAATTAATTTTAACAACATATTTTGTTTAGCCTAGTATATCCAAAGTATAATTTTAACATGTCATCAATATAATAAAGTTATTATGAAATAATATACATTTTGGGGGTAAGTCTTTGAAATCCATCGTGTATTTTACATGTATAGCTCATCTCAATTCGACCAGCTACACTTCCAGGGCTCAGTAGCCGCATGTAGCTAGTGGCTATGGCATCGGACAGCACAACTCTATCCTCTGTCAGCATCTACTGAAGTGCGCCTTTGTAAACACTGGGTCAGTGAATGAATGAGTAAGTGAATAAAAGGTCCAGGTGACTTTTGAACAATATGGGTTTGAACTGCATAGGTCCACTTACGTATGGACTTTTTTCTGATAAATATAGTAGTACAGTACTGTAAATATATTTTCTCATGATTTTCTTAGCATTTTCTTTAGCTTACTTTATTGTAAGATACAGTATATAATACATATGATACAGAAAATATGTGCTAACTGTTTATGTTTTTGGTGCTTCTTGTCAACAGTAGGCTATTAGTCGTTAAGCTTGTGGGAACTCAGAGTTCTAAAAGTTTCAGCTGTGTGGGGAGCCGATGTTATTCAAAGGTCAACTGTAAGTCCCATGCCTTGTCCCTCTTTCTCCATAGAAGAGGGTTAAGATTATCGTTTTTGTTTGTTTAAAAGTTTAAAAAATATTTATTTTAGGGGGAGTGGGGTAGAGGGAGACCAAGAGACTTCTCGAGCAGACTCTCCGCCGGGTATGGAGCCTGACTGAGGACTCTACCCCAGGACCCTGAGATCATGACCTGAGCCAAAACCAAGAGTCGGATGCTTAACTGACTGAGCCACAGGATAAGATTATCTTTAAAGATAACTGGAGGAAATTGCTGTTACAGCATTATCTCATTTCTAGAATAATTCTCATCCCTCATGAAGTTGCTTGGGTCTTTGTAAGGAGATGAAAAACCATGGATTGTGACATACATGGCTGTCTGAGAATGGTTAGTTCTCTCATGAGGCCCATACTATGGAAAGACAAGGAAGCAGCAGGAGGGAGATTTATTTAAGAACTTTCTGATTAAAAAAAAAAAAAAAAAGGTCTTTCGTATTCACATCTCTAGCTAAGAATCTAGAAAAGCCAAACAATTCTGAGCCTCCTATAAAAAATCTCAGAAGTATATCAGATGGCACTAAAACTCAATTATTTGACTCTTATTTATTTTGGCTTGCCTTCCAGGATAAATTCTGATTAAACTGGCTTGCTTCTCTTCAAGCAACGTTCAAAATAAATCCTTTTCTTATAAGGTTTCCTACAACCTTTTCACGAGACATCTTGTATTATATTCCATCTGAAGAAAGGTCTGGACAAAGAATAACTGAGCTCAGAGCCATCTGTCTCACCTTAACAAATGGTATGTATCCTTTTCCTTAAAAGCCAGCGTTATGAAACTCATCCGTGGTCTTTTGCTTGCCATCAGGTTTCTCAGAGCTCAGTGTAACAGATTCCAGTAACTTTTCTCAGTCTAGTGCAGCTCTACATATCGATGTGGAACATATGGGAAATACTATTTAGTTAACTTCCATTTTAGGGTGAAATCATATTCCTTCAGGTTTATCAGGGCATGTACTCACATAAGAAATATTAAGCCACTAGGAACTATATACTGGCCTAGGAGACACAAGGATGAGTATAGTATAGATTCTTGTTATTATATCTGTTTTTCAAGTAAGTTTGAATACCAATCAAACCTAAAGCAAGAAATCAGAAAGACCACTTACCCCTCCAAGGGCTATAACTCTTGTGGTTTCTGGTAACAGTGCCAACACAGATATAATTACCATGAATATTGCTGCTATTACTGAGTTGAGGATATCCTAAAACACAGAATAGAAATGTCAACTTTATATGAAGATCACACACACAAAAAAAGAATCAGCTGCTATAGATTTTCAAAGTTCCATTTAAAAAAATTTTTTTAATTTATTCTTTTTAAGGATTTTATTTATTTATTTGAGAGAGAGACAGAGAGAGCATGAGAGGGGAGAAGGTCAGAGGGAGAAGCAGACTCCCTGTGGAGCTGGAGCCTGATGTGGGACTCGATCCCGGCACTCTGGGATCATGACCAGAGCCGAAGGCAGTGGCTTAACTAACGGAGCCACCCAGGTGCCCGAAAGTTCCATTTTATTAAACAAATTTAGTGAGTTTTTTTTTTTTTTTTTTTTTTTTAAATCCAACTGCCAGAGTAAGAAGACACCTATATTATGTTTGGTCTACAGTGATGCCTAGTGTTTCTCTTAATCTATGATACTATGATATACCAATCATTTGCACTTAGGCTTATTTCTTTTCTATTTAAATACAGTTGGAGGGAGAACACATCTGGTTGGGAATGCAGGATGTATTATGTGGAAGGTTTATGATAGAGTGGTACACTGGAAATTCAGAATGCTAACAGACTATGTGGAGTAGTTTACACTGTAAATCAAACAACTTTATAACGTTACTAAAATGCAATTAATAAAAAGCTGCACATATTTGGCAGAAAATGCTAATTTTCAGGAAAAAAACTTTCCTACATCTGTATGTAGGCTGACTGATTATACTATTATTTTCTGACAAGGTGGCTCATCTAATAATTTCTAGAAACAGGACATTTGCCTTCTGAACAATGGCTTTAAGGGCTGCAGCTTACATTATGAATGGTTGTATAGCGTGAGAGAGGTAAATCATCTTTATTCTGGAGTGGTTTATATCTGTTTGCAGATAACTCTGGAGGCAGGAAGGTATTGTTAACAGAAATATCAGACTTCAAACTCCTGGTAACTTAGACATGTGGTTATTAAAAAAAAAAATGGGGGGGGCGCCTGGGTGGCTCAGTGGGTTAAGCCTCTGCCTTCAGCTCAGGTCATGATCCCAGGGTCCTGGGATTGAGCCCCACATCAGGCTTTCTGCTCAGCAGGGAGCCTGCCTCCCCCCCTCTCTCTGCCTGCTTCTCTGCCTACTAGTGATCTCTCTGTCAAATAAATAAATAAAATCTTAAAAAAAAGGAAAAAAGAAAGAAAATGAGGGGCATGTAGGTGACTTGGTTGAACGTTTAACTCTGGATTTCAGTTCAGGTCACAATCTCAGGGTACTGAGATGGAGCCCCATGTTGGGCTCCATCTTAGTGCAGAGTCCTGCTTCAGATTCTCTCCCTCTGCCTCCTACCGCCCCCGCCCCCCTACTCATACTCCCTCGGTCTCTCAAAAATAAAAGTAAAAATAGGAAGAGAGGGTGCCTGGGTGGCTCAGTGGGTTAAACCTCTGCCTTTGGCTCAGGTCATGATCTCAGGGTCCTGGGATCGAGCCCCGTATCGGGCTCTCTGCTCAGCAGGGAGCCTGCTTCCCCGCGCCCCCCCCTCTTTCTGCCTGCCTCTCTGCCTAATTGTGATCTCTCTGTGTCAAATAAATAAATAAAATCTTAAAAAAAATAGGAAGAGGTTCAGTGGAGACAGGCAAGATTAGATGCACCTAGGAAGAAAAAATTTCTCATTTGCAAGAAACACTGAGGCTATCCTAGGTTAATGTTCCTCTGTGTTGGGTATTTTCCTCTGCTTCAAGGGAAGCCACACCTCTACTTCAGACAGCCCTGCCTCATGCGATTAATTCAGTTAAGTGTATATAAATGGCTTTAGGCAAAAATGGTGTTCTAGGGAGTACAGAGAACTAAGGAAAGAAAAGGATGCACCTGTCCCAAAGTATCAGTGACCACCCCCTTTAAAAAAAAAAAAAGATTTTATTTATTTATTTGACAGAGAGCACAAGCAGTGAGAGCAGCAGGCAGAGGGAGAGGGAGAAGCATGTTCCCGCTGAGCGGGAAGCTGGATGCGGTGCTTGATTCCAGGACCCTGGGATCAAGACCTGAGCTGAAGGCAGATGCTTAACCAGCTGAACCACCCAGGTGCCCCGATATCAGTGACCCTTAATGGGCATTTAAATATTGTTTTTATAATGAAAACCAAACATCAGTATACCATGGAATAGAATGTTAATACAAAAAAACAAAACAAAACAAAACAAAAACAAAAGAAAAAAAAAAAAGAAAGGAGATTTCAAGAAATTTTGAGCCTGTACTTGGATACCACTGCAAAGCCCTGGGTTGACTCACTGTGCTTTCTGTCATTGGAATACTTGAGGGAAACAGAGCAGCCTGTTTTACAGACTGTCAGTTATTGCAGCTTTGGGACAGTGATAACCATAATAATAAATCTGAATGCGGATGACCACGCCCTTTCCTCCTCAGTGAAGGCAGTGGCCCTGAGGCAGAAGTTATCTTTCCCCACCCACCCATTAATTGAAATCATTAGCCCTCTTTGTGTCCTTCACTTCTGTCACAGTAGAAGAGCCCCAGGCAGCTTCTCCAGGGCTGTGCTCTGGCTCCCATTCCCTTCACCACTCTGCAGGAACCTTACTGTGTGTTTCTGACCCTTCTTTGTCCCTGGCCAGCTTTCCTCTGTGGCTCCTTGGATTACAGTTGTCTCTCTTGCCCTGCTCAGGCTCACCATTCCTTCAGCTTTCCGGTTACCTGTCCACTTGAGAGGCACACCACTCTGGTAAAGGAGCCTCTGGTAACACAGCCTAGGAATATATATTTTTTCCAGGACTTATTTTTGTTCTCTTTACATGTGACAGCATTCACCACTCCTTTCTGAGATGCTTTCCTCTCTTAACCTTCTGTGACACAGGTCTCCCTTGAGTTCTCCCCACTGCCTTTCTCTGGCTCTTCCTCCTTTTCACCCCGTATATTGGCGTTTCCCAGTTTTACCTTCAGCTTGCTCTCTATTTTCTCCGCACCATTTAGGCCAGTCCTAGAGCTCGTCTGCCATGACAAGGTGATGACTTCCAAAGCTGCAGCTTTAACTCCTCACTCTCCTGAGCTTCAGACCTGTTCTGAACATTTCTATCTGAATATTCCATAAGCAACTAAAACCTAGCATTTCTCAAAGTGAACTTACTGCATTCCTCTCTCTGGCCCTCCCTTAAACATAGTCCTCTTTGTACTTCCCACCTCAATATCATCTCCAGATATTGAAATGGCAGGCATTCTTTCTTTCTTTCTTTTTTTTTAAAGATTTTGTTTATTTGACACAGAGAGAGAGAGATCACAAGCAGGCAGAGAGGCAGGCAGAGAGAGAGGAGAAGCAGGCTCCCCGCCAAGCAGAGAGCCCGATGTGGGGCTTGATCCCAGGACCCTGAAATCATGACCTGAGCTGAAGGCAGAGGCTTTAACCCACTGAGCCACCCAGGCGCCCCGAAATGGCAGGCAATCTTAATTCTTATTTACTTAGTCTTATCAATTCTACCCCAGTAACCCCTTTCTCTGTAGATACTGTTAGGACCATAGTGAAGGCCTTTATAATTTTCATACCTGGATTACAGAACAACATTTAAAGTGATCTCTGAGACCTATCTCTAGTTTTGCTCCTTTTTAAGTCATTATTGACACTGGCACCAGCAATTTCCTAAATTGTAAGCTGCTCATGTCACTCTCCTACTTAAAAACCCTTAACAGCTTCCAATGGTGTTGGTTTAAAACCCACGGCATATAAAGCCTTGCCTGCTCTGACCTCCTACTGCCTCCCAAGCCTCCACTCTTACCCCCCTGTGCCTCCACACTATCCTGGGTATGCATCTATCCCAGCACCTATTACACTGAATTGCTCCTCTCTCTTGCTTCCCTGAAAATTCCACAGGTATAAGATTTGTGTTTTATCAAAGAACCCATTATGGAAGCTGGGATTAGCAGACACTGAACACCTGCTGAATAAATCATTATGCTAGATCAAAAGCAGAGAAGAATCTGGGTTTCATAATGGAATAATCCCATAGTTAGCCATATGGCACCATTTCTCAGAGATTACAATATCAGCAAAGTTTGATCCTCAGAGATCTGGAGACTAAATTTCAGTCTACACATAGGCCACCCTCTCTCCCGGTGTATTCTGTTACTCTTAGGACTCCAAGTTTATTACAGGGACCTGTAATAAGGTCCAGAGAATATTATAGTTTGGAGAAAAAAAATACTAAAATGTATTAGTTTTAATTAACCTTGGAAAGCAGAATGTGAAGAGCAACTATACAACTTCCTGAGTAAAGAGGATATGGACCATGCTTCTCATGTCCTTGAAGAAATCCCTGGAATAATTTCACTTAGACCTTTCTGCTACTAAATAACATTGTGTACTCTGAGGGCCCATGGATGAAGATATTGTGACCTTTTTCCCTAGGATACCCTCCAGTCAGGTCCAGCTCTAAAACTGTGATCAAGTAGGAGTTTGGAGAGTTGCTATGAAGATCCTATTTCCCAGCTTTCTCCTTTGGGACTTTTTTCAGCTTGTGATTAGCTTGATTGGCCTTCAAAGGTGGTTCTAGAAGGTACCACTTGAAGGCATGCTTAAAGCTCTAAAGTCTTCTCTCCTTAATAGGGGTTATCAGCTTGGATATCAGCACCTTGGAACCCAGGAGGATGAGACAAGTGCAGCCAGGAAGACTTAAGTGCAGCTACCAGTCCAGCCAAAAATGGGAAGGGCAGCACAGGTCTTAGCAGGGAGACCTCCAGAGACAGGATACCGGAGGTAAAATTTGAAAGGAGAGAGAGAGGTAAAGCCACTCGGTTTTTCCTAGAACAGGAGAGTAGTCCGGGCTGAAGGGACACGTACACCTTAACAAGCATCTTGAACTTGCCTATTTTGACAGATTCCAGAATCATTTAGGCACTTCGCTGGGCAGCTATTCTCAGTGCTAGAAGTACGGCAGGTGAAGTTCATATGGCACTAAATAAATTAGCATTGATGATCATAGACATTCTTAAGTAAGATAACATTGTGCTTTATCCAGCCTCCCAGATTACTTTGGTTTTCCATTAGTGATCAGGGATGTGCAAGATGTGGATACTTGTGTATCTGCCTCCATCTCTTTCCCCAATTTTGAGGCCATATCAACATGTACTTAAAAGGGAGGTGAAGATTAAGAATGCTCTATAACTTTCTTAGCCATGATCTTTTTAAATTTCTTTAGAAAATCAACACTTAAGTGACTTCTCCTAATAGAAGAGTCAGTCCCACCTACTGGTAGGTGGGAGCTCAGAGGAGACTTTATCCTCTGTGGTTCTTAAGGGACAACACAGGACATGGTAGCAGTGGGTAGAGTTCCTCCTTCTTAAGCCTATCAGACATTCCTTAAAGGCTTAAGAAAACTAAAGAATAGCTTATTAAAATGTCTCACTATGACAGGAAAAAAGCAGTTAATTTTAACAATAAAACTGAACACTTACAAGCAAAGGCCAAAATAAACAGGCTATTAATCGATCAAGTCTCAGTATATATAAAATTATGAAAAAGAAAATAACAGTAACTTCAAATCCAGTGATGACAATGTATGGTTCAGGGGCTTGTCCAATGATAAAAAAGGTCATGGATGTCACACTTAGCGCCTGTAAGGATTAGAAAAAACATGATTTGGTCAACCATTACTGAATGCAAGTTTAAGCTGTAAAAATGATCATTTCTAAAGTAACTAAATAAATGGGTTTAGGCCACATATACACACACCTAAAAGAGGAATTACTACAATGTATGGATATTGCCTTCTCTTTATGTTTTAGAGAACCAGGTGTCCCTCTCTTTATTCCAGTTGTACAACTAATACCATCACTTCCCACATCTGTTCCCTTAATCTTTTTCCACTACATATCTTCTTTTTTCTCTCAGACCTTCAATCTCTCCTCACTGGCTCCTTTCCCCATCATACTATAAACATATCCAAGTCGTCTTCTCCTAAAACACACAAATGCATCCCTTCCATTCACCCTGCTCCCCCCAAAAACTCCTGTTTTCTATTTTTCCCTATAGGTTCTTCTCAAAAACGTCTGTATACTGACAGCTATAATTCCTTATCATCCGCTCATCACGCCTTAACTCTTAGCAATTTGGAATCTACTATCAAACTTAAACTTAGGATGTTGCCATGAAAACTATCGGAGAAAAGTTTAAAATAAATTGTTAGAGAAAAACAATTCTCTGAAAAACACTGTAGGGGAACAAAGGAAAAAAAAAACTCCCAACATTTCTGATGCTTCACTTTTTACATATTTTCTCTAACCTAAATAGAATGCAATCAGAATTGATGAATATTTTAAGTAAAAAAAAAAAACCCTGAAAATTATTAGTCAATCCACTCTCATTTACTAATGAAGATATAAAACACAGGAATGTTAAGTGACTTAAAGGAAAAATAAGCTGATAGGTCCCAGTGAGTCGGTCAATGTCATATTTTTAGGAGCTGTCATGTTACAGCTCTATCCAAAGTCTCTATGTTCTTGGAAAGTGGTTTTGTCAAGAGTTTTCCCTGGCTAGACTTTTTATGATCAGTCTGTCAGCTAGTAACGTCTACATGCTCTTTTTAACCTTAAATCTCTATGGGCTACTTATTCATGATTCTTTCAATTACTTTATTAGTACAAAAATAGCCTACCTTTGAACTTCTAAATTGATCAGTTTGATTATGTAGCAAACATATAACCAGTAACTAAATAAGCCATTCTTTATAATTAATATAATTACAATTAGCAACATTTCACCTCAAAGCGCTTGGATTTACTCTATTGAACCACAGTCTTGAGTTCATAGATTATGAAATCTTGGGTCACTTTTTCAGTACCCATCTTCTGTAAACTTTCTACACCATGGAATTTGACACTGGTGATTAATTCATTTTCTGATAAGTTCCCATGATTTGAGTCATACTGAATTCTCCCCCCAACCCGTTATTTACAGCTCTTCTATCATTACTCTTAGGCTTTGTCTCCAGTTCTCTTTTAAATATCCCACTAATATCTCAGACATTTCTTCACCACTTTATGGAAACTGCTTTTGCTCAGATTTTCAGTGATTTCAGAATTACTGAATTTAATGAACATTTTTTAGTTCTTATCCTGTTGGACCCCCATGGCTTAATTGCCATTGGCTGTCTTTTTCCTATTTTTCTACTCCTTTGGCTTGCATGTCACTTTTCCTACTTCTTATAAACTCTGCAACTATTCTCCCTTGGTGGGCTTCTCTCCTTTTACCCATCCTTTAAAAACACTGGCATTCCTTTAGATTCTGTTCACCACCCAATCGATGAATGTGGGTTCCTATTGGAGGTCATTCCTCAACATCTCACACGTAAATGGCCATTTGCAATCTCTATCTGAATACCTATAGGAATCTCAAATTCACCATATCCAAAACTGAACTCGTCTTGCCCATTCCTCCTGTATGCATTATCTTAACTGGTGATACTACCACCTATCTTATCACCCACCCCAGAAACCTATTATCAGTGCTCCTAATACTCCCCACAACTGATCAATCGTCAGGTCCTGCTGATCTAATGCTAACCATCTTGGGAAACCACTCCCTCCTCTTTGTCCCTACAGCTGCTGACCTTCAGAATTTCCCCTGAACTACCATGACAAAGGTATTATAGTATAATATCTAAAATGCAAATGCACTTCTCAGTGGCTTCCTGTGGTCTTTAGAATAGAGCCTACCTCTCACAGGATAAATCCAATGTTTAATTCTCAAATTGAACTTCTGATCCTCCTCCTACAGTCGCCTTCCCACAGGCTTTCAGTGGATGGCAACTCCACCCTTCCAGTGCTTAGGCCAAAGACTTTGGAGTTATCCTGACTCCTCTCTTTTTCTTACATCATACCTGGCTCATCAGCAAATCATATTGGGGCTACTTTCAAACTATATCCCAAATATGATCACTTCCTGTAGCATACTGTGCCAACACCCTGGTCCGAGCCGCTATCCTCATTGTCCAGATTACTGCAATAGCTCTAACTGGTCTCTTGGTTCTACCCTTACCATTGCAGCAATACCCTCCTGTCTCTCTGACCAATCCATTGTCAACATAGCAGCTGGTCTATTTTTTTTTTTAAATGTTAGTCAGATCATATACAACCTTACTCAAAGCCTTCCTCATCTATCACTGTGTCCCCAGTCACTCCACTCCTGCCATACTGCTTTCCTTGCTTTTTCTTGAACCCTTCAGGTACATTCCTGTCATAGGGCCACTGTAATGGATGTTCCTTTTTTAAACCCTTCTCCTCCAGATATTCTCATAACTAACTCCCTAGCCTCACTCAACTCTTTGCTAAATTATCATCTCAACAAGGCCTAACCTGACCACTCTATTACTGGACCCTGCAACCTTCCTCTCCTTACACTCCTTTCCCTGGCTTTTTTTCCTGTCTCATAGCACATACAACTTTTTACAATACTGCATCATTTATTTACTGTGTTTACTATTTGTCTCCACTGCCTTCCCAACCCAATATGTAACCTCCATGAGGACTAGGGATCTTTGCTTTGTTCACTGATATCTCCTCAGAGCCTAGAACAGTGCCTGGAACATGGTAAGCTTTCAATAAGTATTTCTTGAATGAAAAAAAAAAATAAGGCAACACCTATCTTGTTAAAACTTGCTGCAAAAATCATGCTGTTTTTTTTTTCCCCTCATGTCTTTGCTCATGGCAGCTCATGGCTGCCCCTCAGACCCTACTCCTGTTCCTCTAGGAAGTTTCCTGATACCTCTCCTTCTCTTATGCTTGGTTAAATGTCTCACTCCTTGGCCTATCCCCATTTTATCATGTATTTTATAGCTATCTGCTCATAGGTCTGTCTCTTTGACTAACCTGAAGAACTCCATGAGTCAGGGACTTCTGTCTTGGTTGTCTTTGTTGTTCCAAGGCCTAAGTCAGGTCTTATAATACAGCTAAATACTCTAAGTGTTTGTTGAGGGAATTGATATGTCTGAAATGAAACCTTTCTCACAAGATCTTATTCCTCCTCCAGTGTTCTTCCAGAGCTTTCAGTACTAGGGATAAAACTCTAGACCTGCAAGTCTCTTCTTCCCTGATTACTCCTAACCCAAAGTAATCTCTGTCCTTTGAATTCCAGAGTAGTTTCCTAAACCTCTCATATACACTTTAACTTCTATTACATTAATTTCTCAGAATCACACACTTTTGGTGTGGGAGGGACCTTGTATGCAGTTTGTTCTACCCACTCACCCGAATTACAGCATCCTCCCTAGGTGCTTATCTGTGCATTTTACCTTTGCTGTTTGGGAATGTACTGCCTTCCCAAGTGATGTGGCCACTTAATTTGGGAAACTTTCCCAATAGAAAATTCTTCCTCATATTAAGTGGAACTCTTTGCCTGTAGCTTTTAACTATTTCTATCCCCTCCCCTTTAGGGATCACGTCTTTAAAATTTAAAAATCCCCCCCCCCAGTTCCTTCAACATACTCTCCTGTGACAGTCTCCACTTCTCTAACTAGCCAGGGCACCTCCCTCAAATGATGGCTCATTCCCTCCAGACCTCTGTGCAGAACTAACTGCAGTGCGCCCGGCATGCCTGACGCCCCAAAGCCGGCAGTCCCGCTGTCATGTGCGGGGTACAAGCGCAGCTGCCGTACCTGCTAACCTGGGTATCTGGTGTGCAGGTCCAAGTGGGGGCCACTCATGCAGACGCGCTTCCTTGGCTTTAAGAATGTGTCTGTGAACCCCTGAAGGGCAGGACAGTGCCTTCTTTTTCTCCTTCTGTCCCCAGGGTGCCCCGGGAACCGCCTTGCCTCTGGGGAGGCCTAGGCTGAAAGAAAAGGTAGGGGATTCCTCTTTATCCTTGAGAGCCATCCCCCGCTGCGCCTGAGCACGCCCCAATACCACCCCCACTCGTCCCAATACCGCCCCCACTCGTGGCCCGGCCTCACCAGCCTTAGGATTTTCACGTGGCCTTTTACGCTGAAGCAGAAGGGACGATGCTTCGGCTTCAGGGTGGGCATCATGTCTGCAGACTTGCAGCAGCAACACTTCTCCCCCTCATCCCCTCTCCTCGCCGCACAGCTCTGCCAGGCCTCGAGCGGCGACAGCAACCGCCAAGAGGGCTGTGAACCACCCTTCTAGGATTCCCGCCCTCGCGTGCGCATGCGCACGTCTCTACGGGGGGGGGCGCCGCTCGTGCGCATGCGCCTCACTGGGGCTGAGCAGCTCTGACTTTGCCGCCTTCTGGGGTTCGCCTGCTGCATTTCTGTGGATCTAGAGGGGTCGTGTGGTGGGGGGTGGCGCCTCACAGGCAGGCGGGCCTTTCTTATCGCTGCCCGGCTCCGCCGGACACAAACAACTGCTCTCCAGGTCTAGGTAAGGGCTTTCCAGTCAGGTAGTGCTTCTGGAGAGCGGTGCAGGGAGGGATTAGGAGGGTTCAGGAATGGCTGCAGGGTTACCCCGGACTATGAGCATCTCAAATACCAACTCCCTAGAGAAGCTTTCCCGTGGTCACCCCGTCTAGAACAGCCACCATCACCCTCTTCACAGCACTTATCAGTACCCAATATATTTTACTATAAATTGCACAAAAGCCAGGACCTGCCCGTGTATACTTCTCTCCCTGCAGGGTTCCCAGGGTCTGGCACATAGTAGATTTAAATTATGTGCTGTCTGAATCAACAGCCTGGGCCTCATTCCCTGCCCTTGACCCCAGGGTATCACAGTCTGAACTAACAGCCTCATCGCAAATCAGAAAAACGTTGAACTTAATCTTGAAGAGGGCGTGTTTATGGCAGATAATACCGGGTCCGTGGCAGATAATATAGAAAGCACCAGATGGGGTGTGGCTTTCTGGTAGCAGATCCAGAGACTGAGGGAGCCCTCTTGCAAATGACTTCCTCTCCTCTGTCCTAGAGGAGACTGCTAGCACCTTGCACTCCTGAGAGAGGAAGGAAGCCCCTCCACCCAAGGTGTATAAAGGGCATGCCCACACCGTTCGTAGTGCAGCTTTTTAGGTTTCAGGGCCTGGGCCTGTTGAATTATATAGACCCCATCTACCTCACTCCTGGGCCGAATTTTTGCTACCTGACTACAGATGAAATTTGCAGGCTTCCTTCCCATCCCCAGCTGTCTGTTCAGATGGAATATTGGTTGCACCTTTGTTAAAAGATAAACTGAGATGTATTAAACATCTTAAGAGTTTGGGCAAGAATTGATTTGATTTGGGCAGCATCCAATCTAGCAGATAGAAAGGAGCTCCAAGGAGCTATACAAAATGAAAACCTTTTATAGGCAAAAGGAAGCAGGAACAAGGAAATAACACTGGCAAAGAAGCTGGGTGTTTGTTGCAAGGTTAGTTTGCTTTAGGTGTTGGCCAAAGTCTATAAAGCAGATTACCTAACTAGTATTGATCACCTAGGCTATTCCTTAAGGACTGGCCTAATGTTCCATTTCTAGAAGAGCCAAAATAATTAAGTCTTGGTTTGGTGAAGTGGGGTTTAGCATAAGCAACTCCATTTTGGGCCCTTGTGGTTTTTTCTGTGGTTTTGTTTTGTTTCGTTGTTGCTGTTGTAACACTTTCTTGAGGCATCTAGTACATTTATAGTCTAGACCCTGGTTATGTTCAAGTGCAGAGGAAAGAGTGCAGGCTGTGAGGCAAGATAGATGGCTTGAATTCCAGCTTCGCCCCTTAATGAATGCTAAAAAAGTCACTTAAATTTCCGAGGATCAGCTCAGCGAGGATTATGCGAGTGACAATATCCACTTGCAGGACTGTTGGGAAGAATAAATGACATCCTAAGTGTGTGTCAGGTGTCTGGATACAACACGTGCTCAATTAAGTAATCTCCAATAATTAATTCACCAACCAGTTGAGGGTATTGTTGGCCACCCATCCCCCAAGCCTTGCCAAGTCGGGGTTCATTACGCCAGCGTCCCGTTAGCGGGAAGATTTCTTGGCTGCAACCTGTTCAGGTCCCGCCTTGAACTGTTTTCCCTCTCGGAAAGCGGGTGAAAAGCGACCGGGTCTCTTTAAGAGCCCGGTCCCAGCAGGCGCCCCGGCGGCCAGCGTGGGGATGGAGGCGGTGCGCTACGCTGGCGCAGACTCGCGCAGGAAGGAAGCCGCGCGGTCGGATCCGGCAGCCGGGATATGCTGCTGCGGCCGCTGCGGAGCTGGGCAGCCCGGGCGCTGCGGCGCGAGGGGCCTGGAAGCCCCGCCCCGGGCCAGGGGACGCGGGGGGCGCAGCACCGGGCCTGGCTTCGCGGTAACACGTCTCTCTGTTCTATCTTTGGCGGCCCGCGCCTGGCGCTCCGTGGCCGCCGGTCTCATTCCCCCCCTCCATTCCGCCTGAACCCAAAGCTACTCCTAGGCGCCGGGATTTTGTCCTGGCGGCTGCCGGGCGGTGGAGGGGCGAGGGCGGTCATCGCCAGCGGGCCGCGAGTGGGTGGGGCGGTGGAGATCCCTCTAGAGAGGAGTAAGACCCTCCCACCCCTGTACGCGGGGGCTGCTCCTGTCCCGGTCCCGCTCCAGTTCCGATTCTCGTGGCCTTGGGGGAGCCAGAGGCCTGGAGATGCAGCTAACCAGTCCCCAGCGCGGGGTGGGTGCTTTAGTCATCGAAGCCTTCCTGCTCCCACTGGGAGTGGAAACTTCCCCATTTCGGAAACGGGAACCGCCGGCGGAATAGCTACGTTACAGCGTTCTTTGGCCTCGGGCTGTTGGGTGGCACCTCAGAACCACCTGTGCCCGCTGCCCCCAGTGGAGGGCCCCCTTGCTTCCCTCATCTGTGAGGATCATAAATATGAAATGTGTGAAAAATGGAAAGTGTGATATACTAAGTGAAAAAAAGCCGAGTACAGGTGGGGCCCAGAGGTGCCAACTGGACCCAGGCAGCAGCTGCACAGTGTCATGTGGAGGTAGACAGCAGTGGCGGGTTTGCCTCCACCCACCCTCAGAGGGTCTTCCTTGTCATTGGAAGACATTTTTAGGCCAGGGAGTAAGTGTAAACATTACTGTTTTTGTGGTGGTTTCCAAAATTAGGAGAAAGAGTGAATAACTTAAAACTGACCTTAAAAATTGATTTTGTTTCTTTTGTAGATAAAAATAGAGAAAACGAAAAAGAGAAAAAATCAGTGGTAAGTCTTTTATGTGCACTCCCTAGTGTAGTGTGTGTGTGTGTGTGTGTGTGTATAATAGAGTGGGAGGATTATATATTCTGAGAGAGAAGGGGAGAGCTGAGGGCAGTGAAGGAATGTGTGCACATAGTAAAAGACAAAAATATGAGGATCTCCAGGGATGAGGAAGTCTGTCTCCACCGCTGGACCTCAGACCCCCTGCCCAGAGGCCGCCTGTCTCCAGGTGCTGGTATGTCCTTATCAAGAGTCTGCACTGTTGGGAACATACATGTATTCAAAGCCTTTAGGTGGGTTTGGACTGTCAGCTCGACGAATTATTACAAAAGGATTTGAAAAATGCTCCTCTGTGTGGGGAAGGTTGGTTTTGCCCTGGGTTAATGGGTGGCTGCCTGGCTTTGAGACAAGGTCTGCTCGCTGCCGCCCCCTGCCGTCCAGTGTTGAAACTAGTGGGTGGGTGGGGGTATCAGAGAGAATCCATGGGGGTCCACAGACATGGCTTCAGCCATTGTAGTGACTTTGAGATGCCAGCTGTGGAGTGGGCCTGGGGCTGGTGTGAGGTTGAAGGTTAAAGAGGGCCAAACTAGATATGTTCATGGGGATGCTGGAGGCTTTAGCTGGCTGGGGTGGGGAATAACATTTTGGTCACTGTCAGTCCAGAGGCTCAGTTCCTTGAGGAAGCTAGAAGTTGGTGGATTGGTAGCTTCTGTGCTCGGAAGGGAGTGGTTTGTCGGGTGGTGGCAGGACTACCTTGGCTGAGATCTGCAGAGGGCAGAAAGGGTGGGCAAGCCCCTGGGGTATTGGGGGGAGATGGAGAGGGCCTGGGAAGGAGTCAAGTCACACGGAGAGCATTGGTGATTGAAACACTTGAGCTTTATGGAAGTGTGTTGAAATGAGAGGTGGAGTGGGTTCTAAAGGTGGGTACCGCAGGAGAAGGGGTATTATGTTGCACTGGCTGGGAATTGATGCATTGCTGTGCTAATTATCAAGCTAGCACTTATGTGAGCCAGGCCTGTCCTGGGTGCTTTCAGACACATAGTAGGTCCATCAGAAGTGGTATGGAGTGTGCACTTAGGCCCAAGGCTACTCTTAAGCATTCAAATCTTCTGAGTTCTTGGGGACCAAATAGCCCCTGTTATTAGTGAGTACCTATTCTGATGGGGGAGATGGCAATAAATAGGACCGTGGTGGACCCAGAACAGCAGTGAATCTGGGGGCTGTTGAGTAGAGGACAGGGCCTCCAGAGGACAGTGACTGAGGGGAGCCTTGGGGAGCTTTGAAGCCTCCTGGGAGATGAAGGAAAAGGGGAGGCAGGAGTGTTGGAGCAGAGGGAGCTGCAAATGTGAGTCAGAAGGAGGAGAATCTGCAGGCCCGAGGATTGGGCCGGTCCTCAGAGAGCTGGTGAGGAGGGGCTGGAGATAGGTCCCAAATCCTAGAGCCACTGAAAGACTTGACTGGGTGTGATCTGGTTTGCCTCTCAGGAAGAGGTGGTGGTGAACTGCGGGTGGGGTTGAGGGGCACTGGTGGGCCAGACTGAAGGCACAGAGGCCACTGGGGAGGCTGCTCCAGTCACGTGGGGGTAGAAGCCTTAACTGGGGGCCAGGGGGACAAGCCAGGTTCTGCAGATGAGTGGGAAGCAGGGCCTGGAGCAGTTGCTGAGTTGCTGGGTGAGGGCCGGAGACACCCAGGGTGTTGAGGGGTGGATGGTGCAACCTTCCCTGAGGACTGGAACAGGAAGAGGAGCCGTATATGGGGGTTGGGAGGTGACAAATTGAGGTACCCAGGGGACGACACACGAGACAGGATGGTTAGGGAATGTCTGTGCGGAGCGAAGTCAGTCACCACCGTGGAATAGGAACAGGAACTTCTAGAAGAAGGTCTTATCTAAACAACGTTTTCCTATAGTGAACAGGAAAGAGACAGTCTATGCAGAACAGTGTTAGATTGAGCTCTTCTTCATTTTCTCGGAAGACAAAAAGTTGTTTCCTTTAAAGAGCAGCAACA